TCTTGGCCTTAGGGGATTTCCTTTTCTTTCTTATGAGCTTAGTTATTTATTTAAAAGTTGGTTTGCTGATGTTATCTGTCATCATTGGTAGGCATTTTTTTTCTTTTTTTCTTTTTTTTTTTTGGCGGGGAAGGGGAAGGATGGGAGTTGCCATGTTGTAAGAAATGCTATTTCTTAATTAATGAAAGAAGTTGATGAATAATCTCTTTCAACTGTCATATCTTGGAGGTTTGCTATTCTCTACTAATTTTCCACCACTGCAAGACTTTGCTATGTATCTTGTGGGAAATAGGGGGGCGATCTTTAAAAATGGGTTCCTTTGTAAAATTTTGGGAGGCTTTGCAATTTGGATCTGTCGAAGGGCTGGAGGCTTAGTTTTACCAACCTTTCAGAGAAAATTGTTTTTCTCAATATGCTCAGGATGACCTCCAGGCTTCCGTACTCCCCTGGCACTCCCTACCTCCCCACAAGTACGCACGCGCCCCTCCCCCCCACAGGACCGGATTGGGAGTTCCCTGACAGCACTGGCTGGGGCTCTGTCCTCATGTGAATCAGTGAATCTGCAGTGTTGGTAACAGCCATTTGTGTGTGGTGTTATCACTCCTGTTGTCTGGAACATGCTAAACTTGCTTATTTTACTGCCATTTGATAGCAGATTTAATTTCACTCTTTAAAACTCTCTTGACTAAAACAGTTTATTTTCCAGCTAGAGACCCATCATTGCACTGGGCTTTACCCAGGTAGGATCAGGGTTAGATCTGTTTTGCCTGCAGATTTCTTTTGGCTGTCAAATTAAATTAAATGCCTTCCTTTGGAGATCACTGATTGACTTTTCCTTAATTTTCTATTCATTTTTCCCCCATTTCAGTTGTAGAGGAAGCTGATTAAGTGGTTTTGTGTAATCAAGAACGACATTCCATTTTCAGCATCATCAGTGCAGAGCTTGTAAGTCAGGGGGGTGAATGAAAACAAGCAGGTAACAAGCTGGGGGGTTGAAAAGGAGAGGGAGGTTAACAGGAAACCTTTCTCCAGGCAAAGTGGCTTCAGGGTTCAGGGATGTCATGGGGGGGGCTTTTGGCCAGTAGAACTTGGGAACCAAGACATCAGACAAAGGTGGGACATACACCTGGTGTGTTTGTTTCCTGGCGCTGCTATAATAGATTACCACAAACTTGGTGGCTTAAAGCAACGAAAGATTATTCTCTAACAGTCTGGAGGCTGGAAGCCCCAAATCAGTTTCATGGGGCTGAAATCAAAGTGTCAGCAGGACTGAGCTCCCTCTGGAGCCCCATGGAGAGGTCTGGACTTGGCATCTTCCAGCTTCTGGTGGCCATTGGCATTCTTGGGCTGGTGGCGCGTCAGTCTCTGTCTCCATGTGTACGTTGCCTTCCCCTCTGTGCATCTGTCTGTGTGATCTCCTCCCTTTAAAGACACTTGTGATGACATTTAGGGCTCGCCCAGTTAACCCAGAACAGTCTCCCCATCTCAACACCCTTAATTTCATTATGTCTGTAAAGACCCTTTCACCAAATTAGATAACAGTCCCAGGTTCCAGGGCTTAGGATGTGGACCTAACTTAGGGGGACCATTTTTTGGGCCACCATACCAGGCCCGCTTCACGGACGGCCTCCGTAAGATGCCCGCGGCCAGAGCTGGACTGACTGGTGTTGGGATGAGAGGCTGAGGCGGTTTCCACTGGGAGTCTCCCCAGCACTTTGTTGGCTTGTCCCTTCACCTTCAGGTAAGGGAGGAGGATGGGCTAGAGAAAGAGCAAGAAGAGAGAGAAGCTTGGAGACATGTTGGAAATACTGCATTTGCTCAGAAGTATGAAGTACAGGAAGGACCAGCCGGAGGAGGACCTGTGTGCACGCTTGAGCCTGCGTGTTGGAACGAAGCACTAATTGTTACGATTGTGATAATCATACCACTGCGATAATGATGGTCCAACCTCATGGAAGGGGCCACGTGTACCCTCCTTTCTGTTCCGGGGGGTCTGCATTGTAGACATTTGCTAGCCAATTACTGCAACTTCACGGGGTCCTACTTTGACAAAGAGCTTGGAGGTCCAAAACCCTGGCGTGGGCTGTTTGAGCCCTGGGGGTGGACCTGGGAGGGAGCTTGTGGCGACTCTGCTTCCTGTGGGTCGCGTGGGCACGGCGGGGAGCACAGGGAGGGTGAGGAGAGAGGGAGGCTGCAGAAAAAAGGTGGCATCATTTGCGACCACCAAGGACGTGCTCACCATGCTTGGAAATGCATTCCAGAGGGGCAGCCTCACAGTTTTGGAGGCGGAAGTCTAAAATTAAGGTGTCAGCAGGAGCCTCTGGGGGAAGATCCTTCCTCGCCTCTTCCAGCTTCTGGTGGCTGCCGGCGTTCCTTGGCTTGTGGCCCCATCACTCCAGCTCTGCTTCCTTCTTCCCACGCCGTCCCCTCTGTCCATTTGTGCGAAAGCTCCCTCTGCCTCTATTTTATAAGGACACTGTGAGGACATTAAGGGCCACCCAGATAATCCAGGTTAATCTCACTTCAAAATTCTTCACTTAATCGCGTCTACAAAGACACTTTTTCCAAATAAAGTCACATGTACACAATTCAGGGATTAAGACTTAATATCTTTGGGTGGCCACTATTCAACCTAGTACAGGCAGTTAAAGAGCTAAATAAATTATCCTAACAGTAATCCTGTGCTCTGTTTCAAAAAAAGGCAGATTGTATTACTGCCAGGCTTATAGACTGTTGTTTATTCATAGCACTTTTAAGAATTTCATTGCCGAAGGGTGTAATTGTTTAAACATTGCAAAGAATCAAGTAAAGACAGTACCTAGTTGTACTTTTCAGCATCCCTGTCTCCCCACCTCCCCAAGAGGATGGATATGGGTATATATGTGTGTGTGTGTACATATATATATGTATTTTTTTGGTCAGGAATAAGTACAGTTTATAACGCTGTTAATTTAGCGTCTCTAGTACTAGTTGGGGCCAAACGCAGCGGGAATGCGACTTTAGCTTCTGTGAGCTGAGAGCATGGGCCCCAGCTGACTTGGGGCAGAGCAGACCCCTGGGTGCCAGGTGTGTGTGGGACAAGGCTCGGGCCTGGTCAGCCCCCTTGGTGGTCAGTCTTTTCCTGACTCCTATCTTTGGATTAAGGGCCTGAATGTCCCTATTAAAACGAGACTTGTTTCTCTAGAAGAGACAATAGATGAAGCTGTTAACAGCCATTTTTGCTTTGATGATTCCATCGGTTAGTCATTTATGGGTTACCTAATGTTGATAAAGGGCCGTGTGCTGCAAAGGGGTGGTGGTCCCTGCAGTAATTCTCACCACGATGCCACGTATGCAGGAATGTAGGGAAGGAGAGTTTAGGGGAATCTGTCCAGAAGGGAGGTGGTGCGTGAGTTAGCCTCTGACGCACGGGGGCGCTCGAGTGGGTGAAGGGGGTGGCGGGAGTACTTGGAGAGGGACAGAGTGTGTGCCCAGGAGGGAGAGCCTGGCATCAGGGCCGGATGGCGGTGGGGCTGGATGGGGACGACGCCAGGGGCCCTGAAGAGCTTCCACAAGCTTATTTATCACAGGGTTGTCGTTGTCCTGTGTGTGTCGTGGGAACATTAAAAAGATCTACTCTGTGACAGTTTTCAAGTGTACAATACATTGTTATGAACTATGGTCACCGTGCTGCACGTTGCATCTCAGACTTTTATTTATTTATTTTTTTATCATGAACCATGACCACAAAAGAATGTTGGAGTCTCTGGCTGAAATCATGTATTTACTTGTATTTATTTACTGATCTGTCTGTCATTTATTTCTCTATATACTTGTACCTCTGTATATTGCATATTGCATATGATGTATTTCAAGTGCATTATGAAACAGGTAAAAAATATAATTACAAAATAAGGAAATAAATAGAAACGGAGTGTCCACTGTCTTCGTCCTGCACCCAGTGGCCCCATAGCCATGCACGAGAGCGTCCCTGGGATGCTTGAGCCTCCCTTAGAGACAGTGCAGCAACTGGGCGCTGGAGGGCAAGGTCCGGAATGAACCAGACAGGCTTCGGGGTGTGGGAGGGGAGCAGAGAGGAAGGAAGGGGAAGAAGGAATTGACATCACATCGATGGCTGGTTGCACAGAGAGGAGAGTGAAGATGAAAGAAAGGGTGAAAACAGTGGTGTATATTAGTGCTTCGTGAGTGGAGAGGCGACTCTTCTCAGAGGATGGGGGCAGTTGGGGACAGATGCAGATTTGGGTGGAAAAGACAGTCTTCCCTTCCCTTCCATCCCTTCATCTTTCCCTCTGTTTTTCCCTCCCTCCCTCCCACCCTTCCTTTCATGACGAGTTGGTTGTGGGGGAGACAACCCAGGAGGAGCTTCCTGTGGGTAGCTGAGATGTGACCCCGTAGGTTGGGTCCCAAGAGCGGGGCCAGGAGCTCACCTGGGAGGTCATTCACCAAGGGGAAGAGGTGGACACTAGAGACCAGAGACACCGGAGACCTGAGCACCCGTGCAGGGTGGAGAACGGGTGGGGAAAGGCCAGGGGTGCTGCATTGTTGGGGAGCACACCCCCGTTCCTAACCACACCCTGGAACTAGGATTGGGGGGCAGATTTAGTTGTGTGTGTGGTGTGTGGGGAAACCAGATCTGGAAGAGACGATGGTGGATCCTGAGAGAGACAGGGAGAGCCCTTTGCTGGAAGAGAAATTGGCTATTTCATGCACCTTCTTCCACAGAGAAATAAGTTTGACATTAACCCTTCACGGAGCCTTCTAGACAGCGACGCAAGGTTGCTTAAGTAAATTCCAGTCTCTTTTTAAATAATTGAATCTTTTGATTTTTTTCCTGATATTATAATTTTTCTTTTTTTTCCCCCCTTGATGCTGTTTTAGATAAGGTGTTTCTCCTGTTGCAGAGAAATAGCCATGTATTTTCCTAGGGTTCCTGTGAGTAGGCAACGAACAACCTTTGCCTGCAATGTCTGATAACAGGCATGTTCTTGGCTTCTCCTTAGGTGGCCATAAAAGTCATCGATAAGAAGAGAGCCAAAAAGGACACCTATGTCACCAAAAACCTGCGGCGAGAGGGGCAGATTCAGCAGATGATCCGCCACCCCAACATCACACAGCTCCTTGACATCTTAGAGACGGAAAACAGCTACTACCTGGTCATGGAGCTGTGCCCGGGGGGCAACCTGATGCACAAGATATACGAGAAGAAGCGGCTGGAGGAGGCCGAAGCCCGCAGATACATCAGGCAGCTCATCTCTGCCGTGGAGCACCTGCACCGGGCTGGGGTGGTCCACAGGTAAGGACCGCGCCATGCCAGTGAGCAGTGCTGCGCTTCATCGTGCTCCAAGCAAGGCTGAGTAGTTAGAGCCTGTTTTACAATTCTTCCACATTTTAATTCCATGGAATTGTTTTGTAAGTTGGGTTAATGCCAGTGTGGGGGTAAAAAGAGTGACATGTAAAGCCAGAGTGATGGGGCTCGTGTCCTGGTTCTGTCCTTTAATAGTGTTTGACTTTGAGCAAGTTACTTAACTTCTCTGAACCTTGGTCTCTTCATCTGTGAAATGGGAATAATGATACTTCTCTCTTGGTTGGTGTAGGGTCAATGACGTAATGTATAGAAAGAGCCTGGAATAGCGTTTGGTACCTGGTAGGCACCATGTAAGGGTTGGCTGCTGTTCTTTTTATTATTTGCAAACTCATGAGCCCAGTTGCTCAGGGGCCTGAAAGAAGAACCAGTGTTAAGATGGCATAAGATTGTTTTCCACCTAGTGCTAGGGGCGGGGCTTTCACTGTATTTGCTTTACATGTGGTAGCCGCTCAGTAGCTGTTTTATTCAGTTGAACTGAATCACCATTCGAATTGTGAACTTGCCCTTGAAATCAATGAGGGTGTTCCCCATAAGCCAAACCAACCTTGCAAGTAATTATGAAAATCAAGCTTGTTTTTACCAGCCTGTCCCCTCCTGGGAAGGGGCTTCACAAAGAAAGTGAATGGAAAGAGCATTCTTAGCAATGTTGCCCTTGGTCGTGGGTGCCTACTTTTAATACTGTATGAAAATAAAATAAATTTTAAAAAACGAAAGTGCCCAAGAGTGTTGGCTTTACCAATAAATGCGTGGTTCTGCCTTCACAGAATTATAATCAGTTATTACTCTAGGTTGTTGAGAAAATTAAAAATAATTTTTAATTGGTTCTCATTTTAAAAAGCAAGATCAAGGCATAAAATATATGTGTGTATAGATGTATATAAACATATGTGCACACATTTGTTAAGACATTTTTGATCGATATACAATTCACATACTATAAAATTTACCCTTTAAAAGTGTATAATCCACTGGTTTTTAGTATAATCACAGAGTTGTACAACCGTCACCACTATCTAATTTTAGAATATTTTTATTACCCCCCAAAAGAAACCCTGTTCCCATTAGCAGTCACTCCCCACTCCCTCCTTCCCCCAGCCTCTGGCCTCTCCTCCTATGCTTTCTGTCTCTATGGATTTGCCTATTCTGGACATCTCACAGAAATGGAATCATACACAATATGGTCTTTGGTGATTGGCTTCTTTCACTTAGCATAATGTTTTCAGATTTGCCCATGTTATAGCACGTATCGGTACCTGCTTCCTTGTTATGGCCGAATAATATTCCATTGGACGGCCACGCTGTGGATCAGGTGAGGGACACTGGGTTGTTTCCACGTTGCGGCTGTTGTGAATAATGCTGCTGTGAGCGTCTGCATACCAGTGTTTGTGTGTACAAGTCCTTTCTCTTGGAGGACTCCGCTCCAGGAAGTGGAGTCAGTGGGTCATGGGCAACTCTCTGTTTTAGCCTTTGGAGGAGGCACATATTTTTAAAAAATTCAACATTTAATGACGAATCTAATCTTAATTTTAACAATGGTAATCTAATTTTACCTGGTTGAAAGCCATTCGTTTTCTGATCAGTGAAGAAAGCAGCACCAGGCCTTTCCTTAACAGAACTCCGAGACTTTCAGGGCAGGGAGAGCCGCCTCCTGGCTAATGGGAATGGCACCGTGGGGTGCTCTGCCCTGTCGTGTCTAAACCCAGGGACACCGTGGGGAGGTCCGTTGCCCAGGCTCTCCCAGGGCCAGCCGGGGCCAGGCACCATTCAGGCCTGTCATTTCCTCCTCACTGAGGCGACAGAATCTCTTCATGTACGTTTTCTTAGTCACGCATGTTGTCATGAGATCACGCTTTGTTAGAACTCTCTGGGTTTAGATCAGCAAGGAAGAGAACATTCAGAAATTTTAAGTGAATAAGGCTATTTTTAGCTCTTTCCAACAATACCCTGTGTAGCCTGAAGTGTCATAGCTCTGCCATTATTAGGAAAATGATGGCCGTAAGTGTGCCTGGCTCTTTGTTTGCTAAGATGACAAAGGCAGAAACCTCATGAATGAATCAGTTTGCGTTACCGAGTCCACGGGTCACAGTGGAAGGTAGAGCCAGGGAACTGTGAGTGGCAGAGCTTTCTGGGGGACTCGGGGTGACTCGGGGTGTTTTTCCAAGGGTTTCATGCTGTCAACAATGCGACGAGCACTGAGCCGCTCAGGATTTCGAGGACAGCAAAGGGAAATCGGGTGAAAGGTGTGCATTGCACACTGGCCTCTGCTGCAGGAAATTCTCAACAACCCTTTAACCACAATTTTAACAAAATCCAATCCCTCCCGGTGTAATTACTGTCAGGATGTCAAAGGAATGAATTTAATAATGTTTTGATAGCAAAGACAGTATACTTTTTCTTTCTCTGATCTCCGGACTTTCTACTTTTTCCTCTCTCTCCTTGGAAATATATTCATAATCCAAGAATGGCAAGGGCTCAGATCTTTTAAAGTTAAAGAGGGTTGGAAATAACAGGCGTCGTTGAGGAGGATTTCTTCTTTTTTGTCTCTAAGAAATCACGTTGATGTGTGTTACCGCACACGGACGTAGGTGATTAGGCGGTGGAGACATCACATTAAGATGTTTAGAATATATTCATGGGTGGCTCTAATGAACGCCTTGACTTTCAAAGACTCTAGACCACTGACTTTTGGCATTCGTAATTTGGTTGACCACCGGTATGCTCTTTTCTGTAGCCCTTGCTGTGGTGGAGAATTTTCTCCTTATGTTGCAAAGGTAGAATAAATTTCATAAATTATTTTGAGGTTAGATTTTTTTCAAGTGAATAACAGCGTATAGTATTTCAGAGAGGCCCTGCAGCCCCTGGTGGGGAGATTTCTGAGGAAATACACTGGATTGTCCAAAAGGATTCAAGATGAATTTTTGTGGCTACACGGATACGATGATTTAAAGGGCTTTTGGCTCGTGTGTTAGGGGATGCTTTAAAAATGCGGTTCCTGATCAGGCTGGTACTACGTTGTTCTGTCATAACTTAATGCTAGCAGTGCCCTCATACCCTGTGGTATTTAATCTAAATATTTAATTATGTACCCAGAACTACTTAAGTATCATTTAAAAAAAGTAAATCTTTAAACATCATGTAAATATTGTAAGTAGAACTTTAATAAAAAGGAAATTAAACCCGTATAAAACAGATTCCCTTAGCCGGCAGAGAATGTCATGAGATTGGACGGGCTGTAGCGTCTGTGTCTTTCGCTGCGGTAGGGCCGTTGTTAATTTTTGCAAAGGTAGAGTATGGTCTAACTTCTTTTTTACTCCATCTTAGAATTGCTTGAGATTCTCTAAGGTATGACGAGTTGTTTTTTCTCCCCTGAAATGTGCTCACCCAGCAGGGATGCCAAAATCTGATGATTTGCCTATTGTATACAGAGCGTCAACTCTTAACATGAGTCAACAAGAACACCGGTTCTGCTGAGAGGCTAATTTGAGATTCATGTTTCATTCAGACTAACAAAGTCCGATCAAACTGTACAGGCAAAACGTAAGAGGGTACTACAATACCGCCGTCCCCGAGCAGGAAGAGACAAGCCACGGGGCCGCAGGACTGGGAGGAAGACACACACGATCAAAGAGCGCAGGAGCCCGCGCTTGGATGTGTGTCAGCGCCGCGGTTCCAGGGCTGTGACCCTATTCATTCATCAATACTGGGACAGGGCCGTCTGCGCTCAAGAGGAATGCAGTGCGGGAGAGGAGGCCCTTCTTTGTTCTCTGGGGCCTGACAAGAAGCAGGCACAACCTGTGCTGGTGGGGGATTAGGAAGTTCTTGTAACTTTCAGGTTTTCTTGGTGAGGGGAAGGCGGGGAAGGCAGATGAGAGGGGAATGATTTCTGCTCACCTCTGGGAGCTGTGTGGGATCCCAGGGCCTGCTGAGAGCAAGCACATGCTCAGAAGCACAGATGATAGCATAAGTTTTGTGTTTAATTGGGTTTACAAAGATAGGCGCTGGGTATGGTGGCTCATGCATATAGTGGCAGAAGGATCGCTTGGGGCCAGGAGTTTCAGACCAGCCTGGGCAATATAGTGAGACCCTGTCTCTACAAAAAATAAAAGAATTAGCTGGGTGTGGTGGCACACACCTATAGTCCTAGGTACTTGGAGGATCACGGGAGCCCATGAACTGAAGGCTGTAGTGAGTTATGATCGGGCCACTGCACTCCAGCCTGGGTAACAGAGTGAGACACTATCTTTAAAAAAAAAATGAGATTGGCAATGTGAAGTTTTGCAAAGCTCTAGCCGAGCAACTTTGTGGGTCGGGATATTCAGTGGTCGGCGGCATTGGCTCTAAAGCCAGACCACCTGCGTCCATGTGCTGGCCCTACCACTTAAAAGCGCATTGGGCAAATGGCTCAGGCTTTGCGCACCTACACAATAGGGATGGATTATGCTCTTCACATGGTTGTTGTGAGGATTAGATAAGTCAATCCATGTAAAGTGCTCAAAGCCAAGACACTGCCTCAGGACAAAGTATGTGTTCCCTGTAATTATTGCTCATTTCATACACTCCGCAGCTGTTCTCTGCTTGCACTTTCCTTGCTATCTTTGCCTGGCTGAATCCTACTCACCCTTCAGGTCCCAGCTCCAAGCTCACCGTATCCAGGAAGCCCTCCAGGTTGGGCCCCCTGGCCATAGACCATGGCACCCTCTGCTTTGCTTCCCAAACACTTATCCCACAATTACTTACTTGTTTGATATCTGTCTTCAGTACGGGCCATAGCTTAGCCCCGTGCCCAGCCCAGGGGGCACACAGTAAGGCTTTGTTGAATGAATGAAGGGAAATGGAATGAATACTGCTAGTGTCAGAGTTTGCGCTGGGATGGAAGCTTTTCTGGTAGCCAGTCGTGTGTTCGTTCTGGACTGTTCCAAATTTTCCCT